TTAAGACTGCTGACAGAGAGAATATTATTAATAGGATATGTAATTAAAACACCTTTTCAATGCTTCGTTTGCACACATAGAAGCTGCGATGATGTGTCCAGATTCCCTCCTCTGTCCTCTCGCTCACGCCTCTCTTGGAGTCGATCACTAACATTCAGGTTTTGTTCACTTTGGCAGGAAGTGAAAGAAAAGAGCACGTCTATCATTACATAATAGATGACGTCAGGTTAAAGGCTGAAAATGGTGAGAAATACTTTGACTACCTTGCACTGCATTACAGTGTTGCTATAGTTCCCACTGAGACGTGGATTTTATTCATTATGTATTATTTTATAAAGTGATAAATTTAAATGTTTAAGCATTTAAACAAACATAGTTTCGCGTCATCTTACGATTTCTGCAGTTAGTCTTTGTTTTTCTTTTATATGCAGGTTTTCCTGACTCGCTCTCTTCCATTTATTTATTTATTTATTGAAATTAATGATTTATTGAGGCTCCAAAAACATTTATCATTGAGGATTAAAACAGAGATAGTAGAATATAAGAAAAAATAGAAAAGTCACACAGGCTTGACACAGTGTGACGACACCAATGTTAAACAACAACTTTTTCATCTTCAAAGTCAACATAAAGCCCAAATATATCACAACTTCACCAATACAACATAAAAATATCCAATATAACATATAATCACACTGTACATACACATATTTTACATATATGTATTTATTTGTATGTAAATATACAAACACTCCTGTTGTTATTGTTGTATTTTCTTCATCCACAGCTCCGTCACAGATCATTAGAACCACTGGATAAAGCCTCTGCAAATAGCAGCCACTGCACGGCTCACCTGAGAGATACCTGTAAAAGCAATTTTTAAAGCTGCTGTAAAAACATAAAATAGATATTTAACAACAGTTATATCAGGCATGTTGTGCACTTTAAATAACAGCTGCATTATTTTGTTTAAATGATCATATTTACCGTGACAGGACTGTGTGAATGATTGTATTTTCTATCAGTAAATCTTCATTTCTTTAGATTTTATATATTTAAGTCTTTTGCATGTTTATTTTTTATTTTACAAATCATATGACAGTTTTGATCATCTAACTGTTACCTGATATTATAACTCTGAAAATATCCAGTGAATGTTTTAGAAAGAAAGTTGATTTCTCTGCTGACTTTGAAAAGTGAGCTGTTTATTTGGCCAAATACCAACATGAAACTGAACAGGAACGTGCAAAACGTAGACGAGAAATAATCCAAACATGAGCATGAACCCTAACCTGAACAGCTGCAACAAAACTCTGCA